CTCTCTCTCTCTCTCTTTCTCGTTTCCCCTTCTTCTTTACTATCCACTATATTTCTACCTCTATCTCTCTTACTCGTTCGTTTCGCTCGTTCGTCGCTCGTTCGTGGGACTCGCAAGACTCGCGAGAGAGTAATTTAAAGAGAGAGAGAGAGAGAGAGAGAGAGAGAGAAAAAGAGAGAGAGCGCGAACACACACGTATACACGGCTATATGATCACCACATCAACGACCAACGACCGACGACCGACGACCGACGACCTACAACGTCGTCGACGATTATACGACGACGACGCAATGACGATGACGACGACGACGACGACGACGACGACGACGACGACGACGACGTTTAACGACGACGACGACGACGACGACGACGACGACGTACGACGTCGACGAGAAGAAAACCCGACGTAGAGAGAGAGTATTATACGAACAGCGGTGGTGGCGGCGGCGGTGGCGGCGACGGCGGCGGCTGCTGCTGCTGCTGCGGCGGCAGTTACGACGGCGGCGTCGCCTAAGGGGTGGGGGGAAAGAAAATAATGGTGTCTCTTTAACGCACACGCGGGGGCGCGCGCGCGCGCGCGTACCACGAACGCTGGAACGCCGGAGAGAACAAAACGGAATGGAATGGAATGGAACGGAACGGAACGGAACAGAACAGAACAGACGACTGACCGGTCACAGGAGAGGAACAACTACTACTATCCTGCCACTTCTCGATCTATCTATCTATTTATCTTTCTATCTCTATGTCTATCTCTCTCTCTTTCTCTTGTATCTTTCTCTTTCTCTCTCTCTCTTGTATCTTTCTCTCTCTCTCTTTTTGTGTCGCTCGAAGCAAAAGGCGACACGATATACCGAGGGTTGAATAAGGAAGAGTAGAAAACGTCGGCCACACACGTAGAGAGAGGTTCGAGCGCGGTGAGCGAACTCGAACGATTCGCGGCGCGCCCGTTCGGTACACGGACTTTTATCGACCCTCCTACTACCAACTTCTCTCTCTCTCTCTCTCTCTATCTCTCTCTCTCTCTCTCTCTCTCTCTCTCTTGCTCTCTTTCTCTCTTTATCTACGTGGAATCCTGTTAAACCAAACCAGATTGCCAAGAAGCCCAACAACAACGGCGACTACTACGATGACTACGACGACGACACTACGACGACTACGTAGCGTAACGAACGTACATAAGTATGTACAAACTGACAGACAAACAGACAGACAGGCAGACAGACAGACAGACGAACGAACGTACGAAGTGTCGCGAACGTGCGCCCGAGTTAGGCCGTCGCTCGCTCGCTCGCTCTCTCTCTCTCTCTCTCTCTCTCTCTCTCTCTCTCTCTCTCTCTCTCTCTCTCTCTCTCTGTCTCTGTCTCTCTTTTACATTATTATCGTCTTACTCTAATCGTTGAAGAAAACGAGAGAGAAAGAGAGAGAGGGAAGAAATGTTCCCCCCGCCCGGCCATATATCACTGTAATAGAACACGTGTGTCCACACATTAAACCCACTGTCTTTAACGAGATTAAAATCCGACGTTAAGGACAGGAGCGATCTCTAAACCGGCCGCCACCCGTCGGGGGAGGTGGCACGGAGAATATAACGACGCCGACGATGACGACGACGACTACGACGACGACAACGACGACGACGACGACGACGATAACGACGATAAGGACGACAATAACTACGACGACGACGACGACAACGCACCGGCCGAGACACACTACGGATATAGGTTATATTCTATCTCTCTCTATCCCTCCCTCCCTCGCTCACTCTATCCACGCTCATTCGCTCACTCGCTCGCTTCACAGTGCTCTCTCCCCACTTCTCCACCCTTCCATTACTCTACTCTACTCTACTTTCTCTCTCTCTCTCTCTCTCTTTCTCTCTCTGTCTTTATAGCGCGCGTACGATTCGCCCGCGAAGCAACGGACCTGCCCTCTGTCGATGTATCTATGCACTATTAACTTTCTTCTTCTTCTTCATTCGTTCGTTCATTCCTTCCTACGTACGACCGGAAAGAAATCCCATATTTTTTATATTTGAATTTTGAAGAAAGTTTTCTATGCTGATAGCTGTAGTGGAAGAATGTCCTTTTGGAATTTGTTCTCTTTTAATTTATTTTCTTTTTTTTTTCATGACATAACTGTAATGTTAAAGTCAAGTTAAACACCGAAATGTTGAAGCCCCGTTTTCCATGAAGTCACGTGTTAGGGTCATTGGTATGCTGCTTTTTTTCGATCAAGGTATGAATACCACACCAAAGCATTCCACCAAATCAATGATCATTGAACCTTGACGATAAACAAATGTCGAACGGTGATAACATAAATTTATATCTGCCGACAGGATTTCGCAAAATGCATAGAAGATCCAGAAGTGTATCGTATCTTGATGATGACATTTTAAAGTCACTGAGTCGAGATAGTGATCAGAAGGTTAACGATTGACAGAATTATCCAAGGAAAAGCTCGATTTTCCTTGGTCAACGGTGCGAAAACGTTTAAAACTTATTGGCAAAACAAACAGAACGGATATTTGAACAGCGCATTAATTGTCTGCCGAGCAACAACGAGCAGAGATAAACAATTCGCAATTATTTGCTGACAAGGTACAGATATGAACCGTTTCTCAAATTTTGTTGTAACGAGAAATGAATCTTTTATTCATTAATTCATTATGAGCTATTCAAACTGTGTGAAACTATCACGGCTAATGTTTATTGCCAATAATTGGATAGATCGAAAGATAAACTTAATGAATTACGATCAGTTTTAATCGATTGAATTTTCGAGTTAAACTCGAAAGTTCTTAGTCATATTATTATACTGATTTAGCAATTACCGATCATTAACTCTTTTAAGCCTCTGGAGTGTAACATTCGTAGCAAAAAAAAAATTTCAAAATTTAACCTAAGTAATGTAAAGCCATCTTAACAGGTTTTTTTTTCCATTCGAAATCCGTACATGTTTTTAAAAAGTGAATTTGAAAAATGGTTCATTAAATGGGAAACTATCCTGAGTGAAGAATGAAATTATATTTTGAATTGATACTTAAAAACTTTTATGAAGTAATAAAGCTTTTTTTCTTTTTTTAAATAAAAAATATTTGATTATTTTTCAAACCCTTCCTCCCCTAATATTTATTTATTACACTTTCAACATTTCACCTTTGTATTTACTTTAATCTATTTCAAAAACGATATTATTTATATCTTAAATTTGTCAAACCTTTCAACTAACTTTTTCCTGTATTTGTTTTATTGTCTTTCATTTTTTTTATTTTATATCTTCCTTTTTACTTTCTTTTCTCCTTTTCCTTTTTTACGAACTATTCCAATCATTTCTCCAAGTCCATCGATGATTCGAATCATTCCAAACACGTGGAGTGTCGTGGAAAACGATTCGCTATTTATATCTGCATTTCTATTGGTCGCTCCATCTTGTTATGCGCACGCACGCCGCCATGTTGCCATCATCACTGGCGGCCGCCATTTGATTGAAAAAAATACAACAATGCATGTTTGTCAAGTGACTTAAACGATTCGTTTGATTACTATATACTTTTATTTTCTCTCTTTTTTTTCCTTTCTTTTTACGTAAAATAGAACTTTTATCCATTATTTTATTTTTACTAGCTTTTGACAAATATTACTACTAATCTCGTTGTAATACAAATCGATTTTATTTTCTCGTTCGAAAGCCGATTATACCTTGTCATTTTTTTTCTCTTTTCCTATCTTTTTTCTTTTTTTTTTTTTTTTCTGCACCGATGGATCACGAGATCCTTTAAGTTTACAAGATGATCAGTGGCACGGACAAACCTTGACACGGTCTTCTAAGAGGATTAAACTTATAAGATTTCCCACAAATCGTCTATAATTCGTTGTATATCTAATCTACCAACATACATTTTTCAATGATGAAAACACTTTTATTCGCGATTGTTGTTATTATTCTTATTATTATTTCTTATCGACTCGATTTGTCGTTTGACACAATTGACACGTTTCCACGTTTCCCGGTATTTCGACGGCAATGCTGTGTTCTTTTACTGTATCGAGAAATAGAAAATTAAGATTAGGATTAAGAAATTAATTATTATTACTTCTTTTTTGGTTTCCATTAATTACCGAAATCCTCGATGTACAAATTCTCTCTTAATTGTTTAAATATTTCCGAAATTTCTTTGTAATAATCGAAATCTTTAAAAAATTCGATTATCCTTCCAAAACCTTCGTGCAATGTTACCAATCTTCTGCAACAACAACAACAACAACAACAACAACAACAATAAAACAACGTTTTAGTTTAAGAAGAACGTTCACTTTTTTTCAATGGATATACGAGATTTAAATAGATTGTTAACCTCAAAATTAATAGAAACGATAATGTGTATATTATTTTTCTTTAACGTACGCGTTCACGACTTTCGGTAATCTTACGTCCAAAATTTGTTTACTCTCTTGATAATCCTCCAAGATAATATCATACTGTCGACGTAATTTTTCTAATTGCGACGGTGACAATTTAGATTTGTTAAGAAAATTTTGAAAATTTTTCGCAGCAATCGAAAAATCTTCTTTCCTTGATTTATGTTCCTCCAATAAAATACGTAATTGTTTGGACATATTCATACTCTTCAAACAGTGTTCCTTTAAATCTTGTAAGAATGACGAACGAAATTTCTTTTTATTCTCTATCTGATAAATCCAATCGTTATAAGAATAAATATTAATATATAAATCATTTGCTGTTAAATTTTCTACCTGTTGTATATGTCCTGTTAAAAATTTTAAACTCGTTGAATTATCGGTCAATGATGAACGATTATTAATTAACAAATGTCCAATGTCTATCGTCCTTTGAACAGCTAGATTGGTTACTTGTAAGGATTGTACGAAATGGATCAACGCCTCAAGTGCATTGCTGACAAGATCCAACTGTTGTATCAAAACTGCTTGCCTGTCATCGCCTAAGGCTTCCTCAACCTGACTTCCAATCAACCTTAATTCCATGTTTTCTCTTGTTCTTTGTGAACGTAGTCTACTCGATCTCTGTTTGGGTAACACGTAAAGTATACATATTTATCTACAAAATTTCATTATATATCCTATCATCTCTCTCTCTCTTTCTTTCTCTCTAAACTCTCATTCGCTGTCATTTTCAAAAGAATACGTGCATTCAAATTATTGCCTTGATATCGTCGTTGATCAAATACTTGGTCGATTTTTTTTTTTTATTATAATGATCCTGACACAAACAACAGTCCATTGAATAATCCTCCCCAGAAGTTACACGCTGTTGAATAAAATCTATGTCGTCTTCCTCCGAGGTCGCTGGCAAATATGAAAAATGATGTCTGCTCAATAAAGGCTCGCTCCAACGTTTTTGTTGATACTTTCGAGACATTTTTACAATATTTAATCTTTTTCTCAGAAAAGGATTAAATATTCAATCTTTTTCCTAAAACACGTAAACGCGATTGCGATGATCATTAGCACGTTTTCATATTTCGAATTTCCCGCCAACTTCTTTTTTTTGTTTCTTTTTTTTTGACTTACTAAATCCACGACAGTGATCATTTTTTTTCTTTTTTTTTTTTTTTAAATACGTATACGTATTTTTCTTCTAATCGATGTAAATCTTTCGTCGATACGTTGATAATAAATATTACAATAAATTTATATTACATTGAATCATCATGAAATGAAAGAGGAAAAAAAACAAAGAGGAAGAAACAAATAATTAGATATTTAAATTATTTTTCTACAGGTTGATTGTATACAAAGCAATAATTATTTATTTAAGATCGACTTTGAATAGATCAAATTAAAAAGAGACTGATGTAATTGTATACATTTGTAATGACTTTTTTTTAAGGTTATGTTGATCAATTCTAATAGAATGACGTATTTACGATGGATAAAAAAATGATATATGTTTAATACGATATTCGATTGTTCTATGCTACAGTAATATCTCAAAAAAGAAAAAAAAAAAGAAGAAAAAAAAAGAAGAAAAAAAAAGAAGAAAAAAAAAGAAGAAAAAAAAAAAGAAAAAAAAATTCTAATAATAAACAAAAAAAGGCTTTGTATCTTTATGTATATTAGAAAAATTAAATCGTGGTGAGAGTTAAAAAAAAAGACTATAGAGAGAAAAAAAATATAAGTGTAAATTCCGAGAATGTCAATATTATATTGCATATATATATATATATATATATATATATATATATATATATATATATTTATTTTGTTTATTATAACCTAAAAATGTTGATAATACACTACTACACTGTTCGATAACATTCTTCTTCTATTAAGCTCAAGTATAGAATGCTTTGGTTATCTCTTTTTTTTTCTTTAAATGTTTTTTTTTTCTTTTTTATTTATGTATATATATATATTTTTTTAAATATATTTTCTTCGTGTATTATATATTGTCGTTCTCTAATTATGTATAATAAAATTATAACCCGACTATATCCAAAGAACGTGTATGATTATTAAGTGTCATTGGAAATATTACTTGGAAAGAGGGATGATGATATTCAAACCTCTTAAAAATCATTTTTCTTATTTTTCTCTCGTTTTTTTAATAATTTTTTTTTCTTCTCTCTCTCTCTCTCTCTCTCTCAGTCTCTCTCTCACTCTCTCTCTCACTCTCGTTTTTTGTTTGTTCTTTTTTTTTCTTTTTTTTTTCCCCTTCAAATATTAAATGCAAATCGTTCGGTCAGATAAAAATTGTACGCAGTATAAAGGGCATTATATTATAAGAGAAAGTTTTGACACACATCTAATTAAAATTAATCGTACGATTTTAAAGATTAATTTTGTACCCCATGGCAGTAACATGTTGATTTCCAAACTTAAACGTACACACACATACACACACACACTCTCTCTCTCTCAGAGCTCTATCATTATATAAATATCGTTTTTTTTCCCTTTTTTTCTTTTTCTTTTCCTTTTTTCAACTCAACAAAATACATTTATATTATTTCGTTATCATTGAATACATTCGATAAAAGACAATATAGTACATGGTACTCGTTAAACTTAGAAAATCAAGGCACAACTTTATACTCCACTTTTAATTATATTTCGACTTTTGAATCTAATGACAATTTTGAACGATGGTTGATGTGTAATTTGGAAGTTCAACTAATTGAAATTTATTAAGTTCATTTGAATTCTGAAATAATATATTTCATGTATGTTTTTCTGTAAATATATATATATATACATATATATATATGAGTACGACAAATTTTTCTGGAATGTAATTTAAAAAATAAAACATAAGTCAGGAACTTAATTAAAAAAAAAAGTGGAGTATAAATACTTATACCTATAACAAATAATTATCAAATATTTTTTTTATTCTCTCATGTTCTTCTTCACAGTCTTAAACCAAAACTCTTTTGGCATTGAAGAATCAAAGTTCACAATTTTTTGTTTTGTTTTTGTTTTCTCTTGGTCCACGATTCGATACGCTTAC